TCCCCAGGGAGTCCCTGGGGACTCCCCTAAAAATCCCTGGGGACTCCCGTTACGGAATCCCCGGGGAGTTTTAGAGGGACTCCCCGGGGAGTCCCTGGGGACTTTCTTGGGGAGTGTCGATTAGGGTGCCGTATTCGATTAGTAGGATTGGCATTGGACTTCAGACTAGTATATGTGATTCGAAATTCATCTATAAACTGAGGAAAAGGTCCAGTACAAGTTCTTTATTTAGTTCATCAATAAGCGGCTACACAATCTTATCCGTTGTAAACTATGAAAAAGGCAAACAAGGTTTAATAACAATTCCCTTCACTACTTATATCGCCGTTGTGCTCACTTTTGTGAGTAGAATTTCGGAAGTATATCTCCTAGAAACTCGTAGAAAATGAAGCAAACAAGCCTACGCTTGTTTCTTGTTTCACAGTCAGTATATTCGTAAAAAAATTCAGCAGGCAATCTCGGAAGTCGAAAAATTGAGAAAATTCGAACGACCTCCAAACTCGGTAAAAACATGATGTTCGAAAAAGTAAGCTTTTTCGACTCTGATTTTTGGCCGGAGACATCAGATTATTTTTTACTTCTTCAGCGTTGAAAAGTGAGTTGAAAAAAAGTATTAGGTCTATTTCGAGGACAGACGCCGCGAACAGGCAATAAGGATGCGTCATTATAAACCTATCCAGTTTTTTGGGTGACGAGACTGTCGCTGTTCGTAAATTAGGAATAAAAACGATCTACAAACTGTTCCCTAGAGTAGTTTTTGTGACTTTGTTTAGTTAGTAATTGTAATGCAGTTTGTCGTTTAGATACACGGTTCAATGTGTCATTTCCATCCCATGTCGAATATATCACAGGAATCGTCTCACCGCCTATTTTTTAAATTGATGTTAATCACGCTTCGACAATTGATCTGATTACACCGAGTTATGATGCGTCAATAATACCGTTAGTGTGTTACTACGCAATGGAAACGGGACATTCCAGGCTAAGCAGGACTATGCTGCCGGAAGTGAACAAAGATCGGTGTTATTAATTGTTGTTAATCAGGATTCGAAAATCGATCTGATTACGGCGAATGCGGGTAGCAACAGTGTCAGTGTGTTACTAGACAATGGAGACGGGACATTCCAGCCAAAGCAGGACTATGCTGCCGGAACTCAACCGATATCGGTTTTTGCAATTGATGTTAATGAGTATTCGACAATCGATCTGATTACGGGGAATTTGAATGGCAAGAGCGTCAGTGGGGTACTAGGGAATGGAAACGGGACATTGGAGACTCCGCAGAACTTTGCTGCCGAAGCTCAACCAAGCTCGGTTTTTTCAATTAGTGTTAATGAGGATTCGACAATCGATCTGATTACGGCGAATCTGAATGGCAAGAGCGTCAGTCTCTTGGTAGGCAATGGAAACGGGACATTTCAGGCTGAGCAGGTCTATACTGTTGGATCTGCACCAATGTCGATGTTTGCATTTGATGTTAATCAGGATTCGACAATCGATCTGATTACGGCGAATTCGAATGGTAATAGTATCAGTGTATTACTAGGCAATGGAAACGACACATTCGAGGCTAAAAAACGAAATATAAAGACGATCGAGAATTTCAGCTGAATGGGTAACATATTGCATTTATATACAATTAACAAATCTACACAAGTTTGAGAATATGTTGTAGCCGCTTATTAATGACCTAAATGAAGAACTTGTACTGGACCTTTTTCTCAGTTTATAGATGAATGCCGAATCACATATACTAATCTGAAGTCCAATGCCAATGAGCCATATTCACATCCTGATGAGGTCGCTACATATCGATACTGTTTTCTTGCGTTCTGTCTATACAATACATGCAATCATACGGCCAGCTTTCAAGCCGTTTGACGGCCAACACATAGCGCCGTCACCAGGATGTGAATATGGCTCATTCGATGAATCGAATACGGCAGGAGCATTTGAGCAACTTGAGTCTCGATTCTGAAGGAAAAACCACTTCAGGAAAGAAAACAGATACTGGCTAGGATCAGAGAACAAGCAGTAATACTTTTTCCCATTATCCATAGAACGAGACTGCTGTTGTTCGTAGATTAGGAAGAAAACGATCTACAAACCGTTCCCTAGAGTAATTTTCGTGACTTTGTTTAGTTAGTAGTGGTGATGGTTCAATGTGTCATTTCCATCCCATGTCGAATATATCACAGGAATTGCCTCATCGTCGGTTTTTTAAATTGATGTTAATGAGGATTCGACAATCGATCTGATTACGGCGAATCTGAATGGCAAGAGCGTCAGTCTGTTACTAGGCAATGAAAACGGGACATTCCAGGCTAAGTAGGACTATGCTGTTGGATCTGCACCAATGTCGTTTTTTGCAATTGATGTTAATGAGGATTCGACAATCGATCTGATTACGGGGAATTATAGTGTTGGTCATCATTGCATTCGTGCGTTTTGTGGACATCATTAATGTCATATGATGCTAGAGTTTCACCCAAGAGAATCTTAATTTTGTTATTCAAAAAAGTATTTTGATAGAGATTTTTGTTGAGTTTTGTTTTGTATAGCAATTTTCTTATTTTCCTGTTTAATGATGAAGTTCATTTTTCTTGTATCAAAGCAAAATGAAGAAGGTGAATTTTTGTTGAATTTTGCTTTGTAGTCGAACCATAAGACGTGGGAAGTAATTGCTCTTAGCGAAGTCAAAATTGCTATCACATTAAAGAACCTGTCGTTGAGCTCATTTGCTCATGAATAAACATTTTACAATGAATAAACAATTCCACATGAAATGTAATATACATAATATTTGAATAATCTCATCTGGCGGTTACAAAGCCTTTCCCAGTTACGATGACTGAGGAAACTATGGGAACTTTGGCATTCCTACGACTACTGATATAAATAGTAAAGCAAAAATATACTGCATGAAATAGTGCATCTGTATACAATTTTCTCACTGTACATATAAAAATGTTGATTTCACAAAATTTAAACTTTTTTAAAACTTCCACAAGTCTAGTGAAGAATATTCTAATCGATTGTCCACTGCTTATAATGTAATGAAATTGGTGCACAGTTGGTGTTCAGATAGTAATGAGATCATACTACATTAATCCATACTTGTCACACTTAGTTAAAAGTCATCATATTTCATAAATTGATAATTAGATTCGGGCGTGATTCGATACAACGTTTTATTTCATTTTTTGCTAATGGAGATAATTTATTGTTGAAAAGGTTTAAATATAATAAATTTTGGTTTATGATTAATGCTTTTGGAATTAAACCATTTCCATCCACAATATTATTATTTGATAAATCAAGAATCGTTAATTTTTTTCCTGTTTTGATTAATTTTGCTATTGTTTCATCGGAAATATTACTATTATCACTTAACGTTAGTGCTGTTAGGGACGACGAATTTTTATCTTGATTCAGAGCATCAACAAAACTGTCAATACCATCAGCAGTTAATTCATTACTAATCAAATTGAGTCCAACTAAAGTTTTATTTGATTTGAGTATTTGTGCAAGTAATTTTGCGTTTTCATTTGATATTTGGTTACGTTGAATACAAAAATTTGTTACTGTTTTGTTTTCAATCAATGATTCTAAAATTTGTTTAATATCCGTATTCGAATAATATCTTAAAGCGCCGTTAAGGAATAAATACGGTGCACATGTGTTCGACGTTAACGCTTGAGAAATTGCCCATGAGTCTAAATTTGACACATCTGTTCTCATTCTTAAAGTTGTAGAGGTTTTTTTTAATGTAAGACAACGATAGATGATGCCATAAATAAAATGTTTGTTGTAGATGTTCTGAAACAGTATACGTTTTACCTGTAAAGATAAGATGTATCAATAGTATCAAAACAACAACATACAAAGAAATAAGAAGAAAAAAAGAAATTCCACGATTTTTTTCTTCTTATTTTCTGCCGTTTGAAATTAACAGACGGGTAAATTATTCTTTTTTTACTCGCACTATTATCTACTTTTTTGATTGAAAATATATCAGAATTAATATGATCCGGTTTCCACTTTAAACCGATGAGTCGATTCGATTAATCGAACCAACGCATCTCTCACCATCTGATTTTCTAAATCTTTTGATATGAGATTTTTATGCTTGTGGTTCTCTCAGCATTTGTTGAAAACACATTTCTCTCTCACTACAAAATCTGATTGACTAGATGCTGTTTTCAACACTAGTCATGAATTTTAATGTTTGAATTTGAAAAAGCTTTCGTTTTTGCAGACAAAATCAAGCTTTACTAAGAGAGAGAGAGAGAGAGCTTACACTTTTCAAAGTTCTCGGTAACAACAATATCAACCCGTACTTCAAGTGTCAGAAACGGTTCAAAGTGTCTATAAACGTTTTTTTCATTAAAACATTTCAAAATCGAGCCCTGAATCTTTATTTTCTTCTGTACATAATATATTTCTGTACATATTTCTATTTTCTGTAAAGGCTGTTTGATTTATTCGATTGGGTTTTGTAATTCAAACGTTAAAATTCATGACTAGCGCTGAAAACGGCATCTAGTCACTCAGATTTTGTAGTGAGAGAGAAATGTTTTTCAACAAATGCTGAGAGAACCACAAGCATAAAAATCTCATATCAAAAGATTTAGAAAATCAGATGGTGAGAGATGCATTGGTTCGGTTAATGAACCGACTCATCGGTTTAAAGTGAAAACCGGATCATACTAACTCTGATATTAGAAAGTGACTTTTTTAGGGGGACCAGAAGGGAGACATAATTTTCAAGTGCTATTTCATAATTGATCTGTAACTCAGATATGTTCAAAAGTCGAAAAACAGCCTTGTTGATACTTGTCCTTTGCATAATGGAATTTAAACGTTTAATACTCAAAATCTGTTGAACATCTTATTGTGTGACTATACTATTAAATCGTTATTGCATTTGTATAAGAATATAAAAACAAAAGCTTGATACTACTCATAAAACTACACATAATTTAAAATATCTTCAACTTTCACGAAGTACTAGTTAAACAATAGTGTAGTTTGAAGCACCATTAAGGTAACTGTCTCTGTAAACTTAGTGACATATCACATTCTAAAGAATGTAAAATTCTGATCAAGACAATGTTCTCTTAAAAATTTTGAGCTTTCAACACAAACTTGAAAGATTAGTCGATTTTTCAGGTGTTCTTCTTCAAAACAACCGTGAGGTTCGTGAAAACTGCATAGAATGACATAATTCACAATTGTTTCACAACCAACAAAATATCGAAAATTTTCAACGTCTGATTTAAAAAAAATGTTTTTGGTTGAACAACTTAGTTTTTGATATATTTATGTTTACTAATATGTGCAAAATATATCGCATTGATTCAAAACGTCTCTGAAGAATAGTGGTCGATGTTTCATGAAATCATCCAATATCGGTTATTATACAGGCTTGAAGTTTAAAATTCAGTGTTTGCCTACGTTTTTATTTTGAAATGGTATCTTATTATGTATCCGTGTGATAAATAATACATTTTTACACATATTTTCTTCCTTCATAGTTCTCCTTTTTCGAATATAAACAATGTATGCATTTGTTTTATCGTTATCTTTCTACACAAACTCAGAAACAGACACGTCTATATCGACTACTACCGATGATAAATCATTGTTGGACGATCAAAGAAAAGGAGGTCATTTCAGTTTTCTGTTTGATTGCAGATCAATAAGGTTTCTGAGTTGTACAGGAAATATATACTCAATTTTTTGCATATTTTTGTATGCACTAAGGTAATCATAACTAATTTTATTGTTCTGCTTAGGGGTGGCACATTTTCTTTACTGAGTAAAGCAACGCTTTCAAACATCACCGTATGAGTGACGAACAACCGAAAATGTATTGTTTTATCACCTTCCGGACACAATGCGACTAAAGCGTTACTATATTATGCGTTACTGGTAACG